TGTTCAGCTAGAAAAGTGGAGATCCTGTAAGTGTGTAAGAGAAAGTGACTACAGTCTGTGCTGTTTTGTCTTTGCCATTTAACTGTCACAGGCCACTGGGGTCTATGACTGCCAAAAAAGGTTTGGTAAAAGGGCCTTATTGATGTAAGCAATACACATTTCTGAAGGGTCAAAATAAGGGTGTTAGCTAGTATGAAACTCTCACTGAATTTTAGAATCTACATTGACTTTATAAATTGAGTTAAAAATATTTAAAAATCATTAATATTGCAAATAATTGTCTTATGAAAAAGTACCACAGTGGTATATATCACCAAGGGGACAGGGAAACTACAAAATAGACAAATCATAAACTTTTCTTTCTCAAAGAACATTATCAACATAGCAAAAAGGCAACCCCTTTGTATATCATATATCTGAGAAGGAAATAATATCAAGAACTGCAATTTACCAACAGAAACCCCCCAAGGCCTGATTTTTGGAATGGGCAAATGGCTTGAGTAAACGTTTCTGGAAAGTTAACATATAAATGGCCAGTGGTCTCATGTAAGGATGTTCAGCACTAATCAATAAAGAAATGCAAATCAAAAACTCCAAGAAGGGCCAGGGGTAGTGGTACATGGCTGCAATGGCAGCACTTGGGTGGCTGAGGCAGGAGGACCTGAAGTTTAAAGCCAGCCTGAGTACATAGAGAATTTCAGGTAAGCCTGGACTACATGGAGAGATGCTGTCTCAAAAAGACCAGTCCACTAACCAAACAACCAAACAAAAACCCATACAAAAACCCCAGAGGTGCCACTTTATATTCATCGATGGGATGACATAATTGTTTTTTAAGTGAGTGTTGCCAAGGATGTGGGGAAACTGGAATACCTGTGCATTGCTGCTTTGAAAAATAGGATGGCAACCCTGCAAAAGTTAAAAATAATGCCAGGCATGGTGGCACATGCCTGTAATCCCAGCACTCAGGACGCTGAGGCAGGAGGATCATTGCAAGTTCGAGACCAAAATGAGCTCAAGGCCAGCTTGAACTGTATAGCGAGACCCTGTCTCAAAAAAAAAAAGACTGTCAAACAAAGAGTTAAACTTAGAAGTATCATACGATTCTGCTTTTGAGCATATACCCCAAAGCATTGAAAGCAAGGCTTAAGTAGGTATTTGTATATTCAGTACTATTCACAATAACCAAAAGGTGGAAGCAACCCAAGTGTCCATCAGCACATGAATGGCTCAACAAAATGGTACAGAGACAAGGAAATATCATTCAGCCTTAAAAAGAAGGAGGGTCGTCCATGTTCCCACATAGATGACCCTAAGTCATTTTGGTAAGTGAAATAAGCCAGTCACAAAGAGACAAGTACTGAGCTTCCACTTGGGTCGGGTTCCGAGA